ACAATATGCTACAAACAACATGACAAAGGCTGACATGCATAAAAGGGCTTGGACCCCGGTCATAACTGCTTTGCAGTTCTAGTTATGTTTGTGGTTGTAATGTGACAAAATATGGAAAAGTTCAAGTGGTATGAATACTTTTGCAAACCACTGTAATTATGACTGAAGCGTCATTTTGATATTGTGTAATTTTGTGTCTTTAATGTTAATAAAGTTGTTGAATCAAGGTGGTCTGATTGTTGTTACGCATCATTTGGATTATTGGAAATGAATGGAAAAGAATTGCATACATGTTATGCATTTTGATTAATTAGGTTAATTAAATAACTATAAATGACACGTAATTCAAATAAATATTTGCTATTTATTTTGTATAGGTAACATAAATACTATGCAATTCAAACAATATATTTTATGTAATTGAATCAAATACACTCAATATTATTTAATTAGAGTAACTAAACTATTAATACTGAATACATAAATCTGAGGATTATGCATTAAAAATAAATAGACTTTGTTACTTGAATGAATTTGCATCATGTAAGGTTTATTTGGTAGTTTTGTGTTAAAATTACCTAAAAAAAGTGAATGGGAATTTGTCATGTAATAAAATTACATAAATCTTAAGAATTAGGTGAAATATTTCTGAGTGTACTTGAACCTTTTAAAGATCCTAAATCTGAAATCTTTCCATTTTTCAACTGGTCCTGAATTTCTGATCAGGACTGTATGTACTCACCAAGGTAGTGTACAAAGGATAAATAGAAGCTGCTGTTGATGAAAATAACCACAAGTTGTCTTCAGAATCAGACATTTATGTAAACGTGTTACACCTTTAAAAAGTAGAGCTCACATTTAACTGCTGAATAATAAGGTACTCTATTTGACCTCTGTGAAGGTTCAGACAGGAAACACAATGTATCTGATATCCTTTCCTCCTGTTTTCTGTCCGTAGTGGGTCAGCCTCCACCCACCTTTTCCTTCCTCTTTACAGCTCATGTGTTTGTACTCCATCCAGAGCGCTTTTTTTGTGAATGACAAACTCATTAACAATTCATCAATGCTGGCCCACTGCCCCACCTCCGTTACTAAGGCAACTGCCGCTGTGTCTCCTCTGATTGGTCGGCTCAACTCAAAGGATAACATAGTGCGCCTCCTGCTCTGAGCCATTCAGTAGCCTGGCGCTGCAGAGAGTGGACAGAGTCTGACTCTATGAAAGAGGAAACAGATTTATCTACACGCTCACATGGACCTAAAGCTGCTCGTTTCCTCAGAACCTTCGCCTCCAGACACCTCTCCAGCCTGAATCCCTGCAGAGACAACCAGAGGTGGAGACGCCTTGGATGGATCATATAAAAACCGAAGGGAGCAGCAGGGCCTCTGTGACCTATTGAGAAATAACTCTGCCTCTGATGCATGAATGAAGGCTTACTCGGTAAATATCTTAAGAAACATTTTAATTGGTTCTTTTCCTTTCAAACAAAGGTTTTATGGAAGGAGACACTGTTCACGGATTCTGAGCTTATTTTAAACCTTCAACCCTCTTTCTGCGCCTCCACAACACGCACACATCACAGCTTGGTCCATAAATGCTCGACAAGCTCAAGCCCGTGGTCCAGCTGGACTCGGCTATGGTGATGGGCAAGACGGTGGGATGGCTACGAGAGCAACTGGAGAGCTGTGGGGACAGCCTGTTGGTGATGGACTGCCGGGCCCAGGAACTCTACGAGTTGTCGCATGTTGAAACTGCCATCAATGTGGCCATACCAAACCTGATGCTGCGTCGCCTGAAGAAGGGCAACCTGCCCATCAGGTCGCTGTTTTCCATCAGGGAGGACCAGGACAGGTTGGTGCGCCACGGTGAGACGGACACCATCGTTCTGTATGATGAGTCCAGTCGTGATTGGAACGAGAATGTGGATCGTGGGGCTGTGTTGGGTCTACTGCTGAGGAAGATGAAGGATGAAGGCTATAGAGCCTTTTATTTGGAAGGTGAGTTCACTTTATTTACATTTTTGGTTTATTCATTTAAATTTGACTTATTTTATGGCAACAACTCAATATAAACAATCTCAAAACATTAGGGTTAAAAGTAGCAAGTCCAACTCAACTAATGTCCATTAAAGGATCCCTGATTAGTTGTAACATTAGACTTTATTTAATAAACATATATTTTAACTGTAAAATAAAGACTGTAAAATTATGGTAGGCTGTTTAGTTTTTATCATTTTTAAAATAAAAGTTTAAAAATATATTACATGGACTGAGCCATTTTATTTCCACACAAAGCATTCTGGGTAAATGATGACGTGGATAGGTCCTCGGTGCGAGGCTGCTAGCGAGCTATATCC